AAAAAAAAAAAAAAAAAAAAAATTAGTAAAAGAACACCTAAATTTCAGAATGTTTCACTCAAAAGATGTTTGAACTATTTTAAGTAGGAATCTGCTATCCTCACCAGATCAGATGGGTTTTCTAGGCAGGAAAAATAGAATGTATAAGGCACAAAAAAGTGAGAGGTTGGAGACAAAGCTGGATGGATTCATGTAAGAGATGGATGAATGCTTGGAGATGAGGATGAAGAGACAGAAGTCTATAGTATAAATCCTAATGAAGAGATTTCTAAGGAGTTTACAGACTCCATTCCCTAGGGAGCCATGAAAGATGTTATACTGAAAATGATTAAACATACTATTATTCAATGATTACTCCAATTTCAAAAGTCTTATTTATTAATATCATATATATTAAAGAATTGTTCACAATCTTGTCACGCAATAAAATATTTGCTTTTTCAGAAAAGGTTTATTTCATTATAGCTAGTATTCAAATAGTAACTGACATCAATCTATTACAAATTTTAAACATCATTCTTTTGATTTAAAAAAGTTGCACATGTTCATCGCAGAAAATTGAAAAAAAACAAAAACAAAACAACACCTACAATCCTAGCTCTGACATAAGCACTGTCAATTTTTTAACATAAATTAGATTCAAACAATTTAATCATCAGTGTTTTATTCATTCAGCAATAAGTTGTATTTCTTTAACTTCTTTGATTACATTGTATTAAAAGTTGACTTAGTCCCAACATATGGTATTTAATATAAAAAATATATACTCTGGCTGCGTGTGGTGGCTCACGCCTATAATCCTAGCACCTAATCATCCCACTTGGGAGGCCGAGGCAGGCAGACTGCCTGAGCTCAGGAGTTCAAGATCAGCCTAGGCAACTTGATGAAATTACTTCTCTACTAAAAATACAAAAAAAATTAGCTGGGTGTGGTGGTGCACACCTGTAGTCCCAGCTACTAGAAAGACTGAGGCATGAGAATCACTTGAACCAAGGAGGCAGAGGTTGCAGTGAGTTGAGATCATGCCATTGAACTCCAGCCTGGGTGACAGAGTGAGACTCTGTCCCCCACCCCACAAAAAATATGCATACACTTAATCCCATTTTATTGAATAATTAGGTTGCTTCTAGTCTTTCAGTAAATATAATGTGATAATGACATATTTCCATACATGTGTATACCTTTAAACTAAATATTTGCTTTCAAACCTACCTAAAATAATTTTAATTATTATCTACATAAATGTCTTCTCTAAAACTTACCTTTTTCTTTTTAACACTTCCATCAGGCAGAGGAAAATGGTCTTCTAGAAACTCACCCAAGGTAATCAAGAGTTTCTCCTTATATTCTTTTACATTAAGCAGTTTAGTTTTCAGCTCATTAAAGACTCTAATAAATTTAAAAAATTAAGAGAAACATTTGACTGATAAAACACATATGCACATGTAACCAGTTATTCACAAAGTTGATCAAAAACTGTTAAAATTTCATTTGCTCAAACCAAATAACTAGCTTTTTGAAAATAATACTGTCTATATAACAAGTAGAGAAACCAAAGGTACAGTCAGGTCATTCATAAAAGATCATATAGCTAATAGTTAACAAAAGTTAGGGCAAGACTCCTGATTCCTGGTAAACTTTACATTCATCTGTATTTTATGTAACACAAAAAATAAAAACTTTTCCTATTTTAGAAACCTAGAACATAAAATTAATACCTTGATTCAGAAAATGTTTCAACTTTATTTTTCAATTCATTGTGTAGTANAATGACATATTTCCATACATGTGTATACCTTTAAACTAAATATTTGCTTTCAAACCTACCTAAAATAATTTTAATTATTATCTACATAAATGTCTTCTCTAAAACTTACCTTTTTCTTTTTAACACTTCCATCAGGCAGAGGAAAATGGTCTTCTAGAAACTCACCCAAGGTAATCAAGAGTTTCTCCTTATATTCTTTTACATTAAGCAGTTTAGTTTTCAGCTCATTAAAGACTCTAATAAATTTAAAAAATTAAGAGAAACATTTGACTGATAAAACACATATGCACATGTAACCAGTTATTCACAAAGTTGATCAAAAACTGTTAAAATTTCATTTGCTCAAACCAAATAACTAGCTTTTTGAAAATAATACTGTCTATATAACAAGTAGAGAAACCAAAGGTACAGTCAGGTCATTCATAAAAGATCATATAGCTAATAGTTAACAAAAGTTAGGGCAAGACTCCTTATTCCTGGTAAACTTTACATTCATCTGTATTTTATGTAACACAAAAAATAAAAACTTTTCCTATTTTAGAAACCTAGAACATAAAATTAATACCTTGATTCAGAAAATGTTTCAACTTTATTTTTCAATTCATTGTGTAGTACATTAAGAGATTCCATTATCTGCTGCTGTTCATCCAACCACCGTTGTTCCCTTCCGACGTGGAAAAAACAAAACAAGCAATATCCAAATAAAACTTTAAATGCCACTTCAACATATGTGAATGATTAATAGTAATTATAATACAAACATACCTTTCTAAGTCTTCCTTTAACTTTTCATTCTTTGACTCCATAGTGGATAGTACCATTTCAAGATCATGTCTCAATTTTTGGAACTAGAATAATTCAAATTAATTACTTAGTCTTTAATCCTACAGTTTTGTTTCTGAATGACAGTGAAATTTACATACTGGTCCAGGATATTTCCATTCACATATCAGTAGTAAAAAAGCCTAACAGAAAGCATTTAAAAGGGCAAATATATAGTAGGTGCTAAGTTTGTGGTAGTATTCTATGGTTAAATACAAAAATCTAAGAGGGGGTTTTGAGTAGCAAATTTTAATTTCATATTGAAAGGCAAGTTAATGGTGTGTTTTCCGTAATCAGAAATTAGATACCTTTTCTAAGGAGACTGTACAACACATACACAAATGACTATCACACATTCAATATTTATTCAATCAATCAATCAAATTTGTTGATCAATCATTGACTACTAGGCATTGTTGGAGGAGGGAGAAATGCAAAGGTAAACAGAACAAAGCAGGGAATCCAGACAATGTTTACTCCAGCAATGGTCAATTGTCATAAAAAAAAAAAATCAAAATAAAAGTAAAGGTATGAAGAACAACAAATGGATATTTTAAGTAGTATGATGTGGAAAGACTTCTCTGAACAGGTAACATTTAAATTAACAAAGAAAGAAGGCAAAGGAAAGCATCATGTTATTCTCTAGCAAAAGAATGTTCCAGGGAAAGGGAACAGTAAGTACAAAGGCCAAGAAGCAGAGGTATGCTTGAGGCATTTGAGGAACAACAAAGAGGACTAAAGAGAATTACAATAAGCACTAGTGTTCCATTCTCTTGATCACAAGGGTTTCCATTAGCTTTTCTAAACATAAATCAGTGATAAGTTAAAGATGTATATTACAAACCCTAAAGTAACTATGAAAAAAATAATAATAATATGCCAATACTGATAATTAAGAGACCAGCCTGGGCAACAGAGCGAAACCCTATTTAAAACCCCTGTAATTTCGAAATAAATATAAAAATTAGCCAAGCATAGTGGCACATGCCTATAGTCCCAGCTACTTGGAAGGCTGAGGTGGGAGGATCACTTGATGCCAGGAGGTGAAGGCTGCAGTAAGCTGAGATCATACCACTGCACAGCAGCGTGCGCAACAGAGTGAGACTCAGCCTCAACAATAACAAAATACACAATCCAAGAAAGTAGGAAAGGAAGGAAACAAGAACAGAAAAAAAGTAGGATGAAAAGAAAGGTAAATCAAGGCCAAGCTTGGTGACTCATTCATGTAATTCTACCACGTTAGGAGGCTAAGGTGAAAGGGTTGTTTGAGGCCAGGAGTTCAAGGCTGCAGTGAGCTATGGTAGCAACACTGCACCCAGCCTGGGCAACTAAGCGAGATGCTCTGTTCCCAAACCTGCCCCCCAAAAAAGATAAATCAATAACATAGATTTCAATGCAACCATATTGATTACATTAAATATGGTCTAACAATGACATTAAATTGAAAAGTAACAGAAAGGTATCTAGCAAACTTTGAAACTATTTAGATACCAAAAGCACACTTCTAAATAATCCATGGGTTAAAGAAGCAACCAACAGGAAAATAGAAAATTATAACTGAGTAGAAATAAAAACATAACATCAAAATTTGTCTTTTTTTTTCCCCATCTCCCAAACAATTGATATGAAACATCAAGGTTTTTTGGGATCAAGCAAAAGCAATACTCAGATGAGAATTGAGAGCACTAAACGCCTATTTATTTTTATTTTTGAGACAAAGTCTCTGTTGCCAGGCTGGAGTGCAGTGGCGTGATCTTGGCTCACTGCAACCTCCACTTCCCAGGTTCAAGCGATTTTCCTTCCTCAGCCTCCCGAGTAGCTGGGACTACAGGCGTATGCCACCATGTCCAGCTAATCTTTGTATTTTCAGTAGAGATAGGGTTTCACCATGCTGGCCGGATGGTCTCATGATCTGCCCGACTTGGCCTCCCAAAGTGCTGGGATTACAGGCATAAGCCACTACGCCCAAACTAAAAGCCTATTTTAAAAGAATAGAATGCTCTCAAATTAATAACCTCAGCTTGTATCGTAAGAAATATGAAAAAGAGCAAATAAAACCCACAGCAAGCTGCGGAAATAACAGTACCAAAGAAGTTAAATCAGTACAATATAAAACAAATAAGGAAAAAGCAATGAAAGTTGGGTTTTTTGAGAAGGTCAATAAAATTAGATTAGTTATGGTAGGTGGAGGGGAAGGACCTAAATCACTGATATCAGGAATGAGAGAGGTGACATCACTACAAACATTAAAATCATAATGGA